GCATAAAGAGGAAAGAGAAGAAATGCTGACTGCTTTTGTTGTGAACCATGACATTAGGAATGTATGGGAGAAGGAATTCTTAAGACACCTGAGAGCAAAGACTTGAGGGAAAGCTCACTAACAAGAATTAGAAGAAAAAATAAGTACAAATATAAAATGACATCTGCACAGAGAGAAGAGAAGGAATTACCATCACCAGAATTCCACAACTACTTTCAACTTTATCCATCTAAGTGGAGTTACAGTTATTAAGCTCTTGTGCATTTCTTAATGACTGGATCATATTCTGAAGTTCAGAATTACAGTGTAAGAAATATTTATTTCTCCAACAGCCTAAGGTTCATGGCTTCTTAGTGAAGACTTTCTATGTCACATGACATATTTCAAATCTCCTAAAATTTTTTTTTAAAAAAAGCAAAAGGGAAACAAAAGGCAATGTACTTTTCCCTGACTTAAAATAAATTGCTCATGTTTGTGTGTTCAAGCTTTAAAGAAAATGAAAAAATCATACTGGGAAAGAAACGACACTATTAGAATTCAATGAAATATTAATTTCAGAAAGTTAGGAACATCTTGTAATAGGGAGAAGGCATTCATAACAAGAACTACAATTTTAAATAACAGTTACCAAGCCCTCTCAAATACAGACTGAACTGCACACAGAGGTTGCAAAATTCTAGTATTCTATGCAGAAGACTAGAAAAGTCATTCCCTGGGCAGATGAAAAAGCTGTAAGAAAAAGTTTGACTCACCCAATATTGAACAGTTTTGTTTTGAAAGTTTAGAAAAGGTGAATCTGCAGTTTTGCATTATTGTGTCACTTGAACACTGTTGATACAGGGGAATGAGACACAAACAGCTTACACTGCACCCACGTGCTGTCAGATACATTGAATAGCATTCTACCTCTCTCTATGCACAGCAATAGTGAATAACAAGGGACACAAGAACAAGGAAGATATGGTCAAAATGAGGCTAAATACTGTTCTGTATGCTGTACCTATGATGACAAGATGCCAGATTCCATTTATGCAAATTTACCACAGAACTTCAACTTTTAGAAAGCTGTTTATTGTTCAGGAAAAAAGTCTAAAGCAGAAACTTCTTTACATCTCTTAGAGGAAGTCAATACTACAATTATATTCATTATGAAATCTTCTATATTGCTGTGCTAAAGAAAATAAATCTTTTATGAAATATACAATACCTCATTTTGCCAAGGGATTGAGACACAACCCGTAACAAATTTGGAGTAGAAGTCATCATCTGTAGTATCCAGGTTCACTCCTTTTACTGTTGAGAACTGCTCTATGTCCAGGACATCTTTACAATACACGGCACGTGGCTGCAGTACAATACAAGATTGCTTCATTAAGGTTTTGGAGTCCTTGTTTGGGATATTGGGGACTTTTTGTGTGTTTTGGGGGTTTTTTTCCTAGATGAGCTAATGGGGACTGAAACATCTGCAATTTTATATTTCACTTTGCTAATCACCATATTACACTATACTACAAAACAAAAATGTAAGAACTTAAAAGACACTCTCCATAAGGTACCTGAGTAATTCCATCCATCCTACAAGTAACAGAAAGGAAATATCAAAACTAGAAACAGCATGCAACTTCTCTGGATTTCTTAATTGTTGTCATAATTCACTAATGTTCTGTCACCCTCCTTTCAACTCCAGAGTAAATTCTTCAAAGATAATCTTCATGTGTTCAGCATCCAAGCTATGGAAGCAGATTTAAGGGCCAAGGAATGAGCTACAAAGCTCCTTAGAGAAATATAATGATTGAAAATTGTTTTGTCATCTCAGATGAAATGCTACAAACCAATTAGTTATCAATAGCTACAATGGCATTCTCCTGCATATTTGACTAAAGGTTTCTCTGGAGTTCACATGATTGCTGATATAGAATTATGACAGTTGTTGCCTTTTTAGGTACTAATCAAGTCTGTCTCACCTACTTACATCTGGCAAGAATGGAGGTTCTAACATGTTAGCTTCCAGCCTCTTGAAGTTAATATTCTTAAAAATAGGATGTTGCTTTACAATAGCAGCTCCATCTTCAGTGCAACCCAGTCGTTCTGCTGGATTTTTAGCAAGTAACTACAAAGATACAGGAAAAAAAAAGGCTTATCCAGTGATATAATCCCATAATGAAAAAAAATAATTATATATATCACATCTTTCAATAAATTTATTTTGTTACTTGTTTTATTAGATGAAATTTATCATCATATCAAAATTAACAGGAAACCCGAAGTGTAACATTCTGGAAGCGAAAAGTTTTTCGGTAGACAAAAGAATGCCTGAAAGCAGAGCATTTGAAAATTATACCCAGAGTGATATAAAAATATTTTAACTGATGTCATGCAGAATTGTGGACTTTACTTACAGGAAATAAGAGACTTGCTTTTTTTTTCCAATGGGCTTAACTGATGCACATATTTTGCATAAACTAGTAAAGAAAACTTTTGAAGCTTTCCATACAGACCTGCCTCTAATTAAATTTAAGTACATGCAAGATCAAAAAAAAAAGCTGCTGCCTCATACAGACTCTTTTAGGCAAGGAAACTAGTATACCACTCTGCCATTTCTCCCCATGCTGTACTGAAGTTGAACAAGCTATCATACTCCATCTATAATTACATGTGGTTCAAGGCGTACTGAATCTTTTCATTGATGTGATGAAAAAACAGTTTATGCATCTTGAGAAAAGTCCTGAATTGTCAAAGTTTGATAATTGAACACTGGACAGACAATCAACTTCCAGCTGAACTAAAGAAAGATCTAAGGACTCCAGCTTTGAAAATCTTTCAACAGTAAATGTTAAAATGAAGTAGCTCATCTCTTAAAAAGGTTTAGAAATTTAATTTTCAAACCTCTACATCTCTTCACCCACCATCCTGCAGATGGATTTTGCCTCCTCTGAGAACTTGTCTGAATATGTTTCCTGGTCTTCCTTTACCCTCCGGTCAATCTCATCCCGTTTGACCCTTTCCTTGTGCTTCCTGAATGGAGACTGTCCTTCAATCATTTCATAAATCAAGCACCCAAGACCCCACCAATCCGGGCTGAATGTATACTTTTCATTTTTGAGCACTTCTGGAGCTACAAAACAAGAACAAAGAAACTCTTCTGTAGTTTGAAGAAATGTTAATTCCTGCAGTGATTACTCTGTCTATATCCAAAAAAGCACTTAAGTTCTTTAACACTTCAAATCAGTACTGTTTACAAACGAAGAATTAAGTTTTTCCAAAGCCTAGAAATAAATACATTGTCATGATAATTCATCTGCTTACCTGGGACCCTAAATCTCTCCAAACCTCAGAAAAAATATGTTTTCTTAAAGTTCTACCTAAAGCTAGAATTACCAGAGTTTAGTTTTCAAGTTTATCAGTAGCCTTATATTTGACTACTAACGTCTGCTACCACATATTGTAACCCTTCTTCCCATAAAATGTCTAGGAAATAGTCCAGGCCCAGTATAGTTCTTCAGACAAGTCATTCATATATTCACAGATGCAAATTTTCTGGTAAAACGTAACTAGCAAAGGATAGTTTACATACCCATGTAACCAACAGTCCCAACCCGACCTCGGACGGTTTCTCCTTCTGGAATCTGCACAGCTAATCCCAGATCTGAAATCCTGATGTGTCCTATTTATGATAAATCAATTAGACACAGTCAGCAAATAATAAAGTATTATCACTTTCCAAACTAAACAATTTCTGTAGCATACCTCAACAAAAAAAATAACCCAAACCGTCAAAACATATTCATAGCACTAAGTTTATTTAACTTAATTAGAATTGAGTAATTTATCATTACTCAGCTCTTTCTTAAATAAGTAAAGGAAGAAAGGCACAGATCTAACTGATTTCCTGAAGGTCATACAAAAAAAAAAATTGCTGTTAAGTACTCCAACTCCTAGTGCTGACACAGGTTGCTACTCTAAGATGAAGAGAAATGATGACTGCTCATTTCAAATTCAGTATTAATGCATCAGGCACGTGTATTTTTCCATTCTGTATTCCTGTCACAAACATTTGGCTTTCTGACTTCCTAAAAAAACTCCGGAATTTACTCTTCTTATTCCAAATGTGAGAAAACTGTAGCCTGAGACACCAGGTTTTCCTCTAACAAAGTACCGTAATAATGCTAAGCCCAAGTAATTGGAATTGTTATCCTCACTCCCACCTCACAAGAAAACCAGCCTACCCATAACCTACTTAGAATTATTTCTCTTGTAACATGTCAGTTCAATGTTAGGCTTTCTCCTTCTCATGACTCAATCTAATGTAGAGAACAGTTTCTATACGACTTTATTAGCCAAACTTCTCAAGTTGATTACCTTTCCTATTATGCATGGCATTTACACCAGCACCTATAATGTAGCAGTCTGGTGGCAGACCATGATTTGTTATGAACAACACTGTTGAGATGGAGAAACAGTTCAAGAAGAGCAACAGGAGTAAGTGCACTCCACCCTCCCTTACATTCCCATGGACAGGGACAGTTCTGTGCCGGACAGACTCCACAGCACATGATTCAAGATGGCTCAAGGCAACAACTTTATTGACAAGATTCCAATTTAAAACCACATAAGGTACTTTAAGAAAAATACAAAAGGCTAGACAGAACACAAGAGAATTACATTTTCAACTCGATTTTAAAACAGAAAATTGCCAACCGTCTGTAGTAGAAAGATTCAAGGGCAAAAACCAAACCAAAGCAAACCCACATTTATTTCTAATACTGGATATAAGGACAGAGACACTGCAATTTACAGGAACATCAGAGATTTACAGAATAATTCAGGCTAGAAGGACTTCAGAAAGTCTCTAGTACAACCTTCTGAGCAAAAGGTCAGCTGAAAGTGTTCAAGATTTTACAAATCCTTGTCTAGAAAACCACCAAGAGTGGACATTGCATTACCTCTCTGAGTGGCCCATTCCAATGCCTGAGTGTCCTTTGTGCATGCATTCTCTGTCATGCAAAAAGCTCTACAGCATCAATGTTAGTTAACAGCATGTTAATTTCTTATTTGCATGTGATAGAAAATCAAGGGGTGGGGAGACAGAATGGAGAAAGTTAAGTGTCACTCTGTATACTGGTCAGAAATAACTAAATGCTCTTAAGCAGTAAATGCTATTCTAAATACATTCAGCTGCTCTTCTATTCCCTGACATTGATGCAGTCCTTTCCAAGTGCAAGATCTGAGCTCCTGAAGCAATGTTCTAATTAGTCCCCTCTGCTTTCTGGAACAAGATCAAAAGTCTCCCTGGCAGAGAGAAAGCATGCTAGTGCAGTCCTGCGAGGTTACAGTTTTCCTCAAAGAAGCCTTCAGCTTTTGTAAAGCATTGCTGGAGAGAAAAATTAAAGAATGCATTTGATGTATAGCAAAGCTTAGCTCTGGGAAAATGCCCAAGCATGACCTTTATAGAAATTCATTAGTCAGAACATGCTGATTGTAAAAAATAATTGTGCCAATGACTTCAAAACCAGTTTTTCCTTAACTATATTCAGCAATTACAAGAACAAACTCCACAGCACAGAAGAAGGTAATTGCTGCACACATTTTACAATGAATTAAAAAAATTATTATGAATTTAATACAAAGTTATTAAAAATAATTAATTTGGCTTTTGAAGACAAAAAAACTACAAACGCTTCTTCATATTGTTTCTACTTCCTTGATTCCTTCCAGGCACATATGCATGAGTGACCACCAGACCTGTTTTAGTTGAAAAGTTAAAACAGAGGTGCTTCAGATTTCTTCATTATTGCTTAAACACTACCTAAAATTCTGGCCCCACATCTAAGAAATCATGTTTCCATAGCAAAGAAAAGACAAAATGAAAACAAATCCATACGAAAGTTTTAGCCATCTTAAATCAAGGAGAAGAGGGAGGAGGAGCAAAAGGGAAAAAGGAGCCATTTTAAGATGGGAAACTGACACCTCCAACGTCATTATCATTGTTCCTTAAAGACCCAGTATTTTCCCCTACTTTCTAAAAACTCTGGACAGTTTTTTCTTTACTAATTGTCAGTCAGGTCCCTTTTATCATTAAGAAATCCCTTTGATTTCTGGGACAGTATTAATTAGATTTGTAATTCCCGATTTCAAAATTAATTTTAATTTTTACTTACCACAGTCATCAAGGAGTATATTTTCAGGCTTCAAGTCTCTAAAAATTAAACAGAATAGAAATGTAAATTACTCAAAGGCAAAATTATTAGCCATCAACAAGTGCAACTGAGGCAACTTGAGACTTCTTGGTTCTAAGTAAAGCTGTTTTTTTCCAGTTTCCACCTATACACAAAAAAAGTGAGGATGAGGACCTATAATACCAATAATTTAACCACAGAACTTGAAATCCATTTTTTTCCCAACTCTCTAATCCATTTATATTAACAGCAGCAATTCATATATCACAGATTAAAAACCTTCTCTACAAAAAAAAATGTTCCAGCTTGTGCCCCTTGCCCCTCATCCTGTCACTGGGAACTACTGAAAAGAGTCTGGCTCCATCCTCCCTGCACCCACCCTTTAGATACTTGTAGGCATTAACAAGGTCTCCTTCAGCCTTCTCTTCTTCAGGCTAGAGTCCCAGCTCCCTCAGCCTTTGCTCATAAGGGAGATGCTCCAATCCCCCAGTCATCTTTGTTGCCCTCCACTGGATTCTCTCCAGCAGTTCCCTGCCTCTCATGAACTGGGGAGCCCAGAACTGCACACAGTATTCCAGATGTGTTCCAGACTCAAACTCCATTCCTTTAATTTGGACATGGAGCTTCTAAAGCTTTTTAGACCCTTAATGTAGCTAGGATTCTTTGCAATCAACTTCCTAAGACTGTCTACTACTTTTCTGTAAGCATTGAAGTTTCATGTGAAACATTTCATGGATATTAAATGCTAGCAAGACTGAGGAAATACTAAAAGGGCAATTAATTCAGTGTTGCAAGTCTGCATTTTATAGGCATCTTCTTGTACATTTTAGCCTTAAGAACAAAAGAAACTCAATGGGTTATTTGCATTTCCTACTCCCTCAAGGAAAATATGGGGAGTCACAGAAGCTGAATCAGAAGCTGTTCAGAGTTTACTTCTAGGATTTATCCTCTAGCAGATTCTACTGAGAACTTACATATTTTAAATTATGTAAAATATATGCATACGCATGGAAGATATGTATAAAATATATAATGTATATTATACATCTAAAACTGCGGTATACTTCAGAAAGTATCAGGACTGCAATACAATCTCAGACTTATTTCACCATAAATATTGTATGGGCAGGAACAGAGAAACAAAAATCAGTTCTTGGCTAAGATTCAGTTATTATTGGAACAGATTATTAAAAACAATATGTACATGTATGGGTATATATCGTTATGACAAGAATATTATTAATATACAAGCAAAAATGACTGAATAATATTTAAAAGAGCAATTTTAGGAAGAACCATTCCAGAATTTACATTTAAAATGAGAGAGAAATCTACACAGATGTATTTGCTTACCAAGAAATCTGTCTTCTTTTTCCCCCCAAATACTGATAAATCGATGCTCTGAAGTATGTGCACACACATTAAATGTTCATTATTTCAGGATATTAACTGTATAAAGAACTGAGCAAGACATTTTGCTTCAAAGATTTCTAAGTCTAGACAGTCCTCATGATGTTCATCATTTGATGTTAGATAAGAGATTACAACCCCAGAGAAATCAGGATGTATCACAGTACAAAACAAAAAAAGCATCAATCCCACACCAGTTTAAAAAAAAACAAAAGAAAATTCAGTGCAAACTTTCGGTAGAAACACATCTACTAATGCACATAACATATATTTAGGTCAATTAAAGTAAAAAAGTTTAAAGAGTTCCATCTCCAAGAAGGCTGATTACTAACCAAAAAACTAATGCTTACTTGCAGCATCTGCTGCTTAATAGAAACTGCTTCTGTTCTGACGTTATTTTGGTCAGTCAATAGTAAAACTTGTTTCTAGCCAAAATTCCCTCTCTTTAATGCTGTTAGATTCTAGGCCTAGCAGTTTGCAAAGAAGTCAGCTTTTGGAAGTGGTCAGCTATTCATTCTAGCTCTGGGACAGTAGCTTTAGGGGTATCAGCCTTCTCCCTCTTCCCCTCCTCCACCACAACAGAGGCCAAAGTCACAGTTTCCACTGGAATACACAGACACGAGACCTGCACTGGGTAACAGGCAACCCGAGCTGAAAACCAAGCTCAGAACAAGAGCTGGCAATGCAATTCTAGCCACAGAGGCAGCAGCTTTCCCTTATGAAGCAGAGAAAGGCCAGAGGACTGCAAAGCTCACAAAACTAAAAGGTTCATTAACAAAATTAGATAAAATTTCTATATTTGTTTTACATTGGACTGAACAAGCACTAGTGCTGTAACTTACACCAGCCTTCCTACAGAGAAAACTTTTGGGTAAATATCCTTCAGGGGATTCCACTGTAAGGATGTCTATTCTGAGCACAGACTCATATAATGGTCTGGATTGGAAGGGACTTCAAAGACCATCTAGCCATGGGCAGGGACATGCCCCACTAGACAAGGTTGCTCAAAGAACCATCCAGTCTGGCCTTAAACACTTCAAAGGATGGGGCATCCACAACTTCCCTGGCCAACCTGTTCCAGTGTCTCACCAACCTCACAGTAAAGAATTTCTTTCTAACATCTAACCAAAATCTACCCTCTTTCAGCTTAAATCCATTACCCCTTGTCCTCTCACTACAAGCCCTTGTAAGAAGTCCCTCCACAGCTTTCCTGTAGCCTATTCAGGTCCTGGAAGGCCACTGTAAGAGCTGCCCAGAGCCTTCTTTCCTCCAGGCTGAACGGCTCCAGCTCTTTCAGCCTGCCTTAATAGGAGAGGTGCTCCACCCCTTGATCATCTTCATGGCCCTCCTCTGGATTTGCTCCAGCAGGTCCATGTCCTTCTTGTGTCAGAAGCTGCAGAGCTGGACATAGTACTGCAGGTGGGGTCTCTCAACAGAGCAGAGGGGGAGATGCAGCCCAGGACACGGTTGGCCCTCTGGGCTGCAAGTGCACATTGACAGCTCATGTCGAGCTTCTTATGAACCAACATCCCCAAGTCCTTTCCCTTAGACCTGTACTCAATCCACTCCCTGCTCAACCTGAATTTGTGCTTGGGATTCTCCTGACTCATGTGCAAGACCTTGCACTTGGCCTTGTTGAATTTCATGCAGTGGGAGGCAGGCAAAGCACTACAGCTTCAAAAGGTCTTGAGCCTGATCTTTGATCTTCCAGGAATATTCAGTGGTAAGATAAGATAAGCACCTACATGAGTTTGAGAAGAAATCCTATGTAGCCACACAAATTACCTGAGAAAAAACAGTATCATCCTTGAAGAGTCAGGAAACTCCAGCAATTAATGTCCCTTTTGGAAAGCAGGCACTTGTTCCCTACTCTGTCTTATGCAAATCCTGTCTTTGCTCTATGTATTATCAGGCATTTTATGCAGCAGATGGATCAACAGCTCCAATACTGCCTGTTCCTGTCTGTTTGCTTATTTTTCCTATGTCAGAAACATATGGCAGGTTACAGATAGTTCCACCAGCTCAATTGCTATAACAAGGCTGTGCAGGGCCCTCTTTCCAGCACTGCACCTGTTCTTTTAATCCACTGGGAACCCCACTAACAAAATGGCACAACTGACTCAAGGGTCCTACAGGCAGAAGTAACACCCCTGCCTGAATGTAATAACTGGTATAAAGACACATGAAACACAAAAAATCCTGATGTTTTTCCACTTTATGAGGCACTGATGGTGACACACCCCAAACATATTTATAACAAATTCACTTTACTGTGAATACACAGATGTACAGCCACAAAAACAGCTTCTCAAAAAAATATTTTGTAACAGTGTGTTACAGAATTGAAGTCAACTTTCACAATTTAAGCTGTTTGTCTAAACAGAGTTTAAAGGGCCTCCTTTAAAGCTGGAAAACAAATGCAGTAACAGATCTTGAGATATGGCACCAAGAAAAAGAAACTGCTCGAATTTCAGAATTTCAGTGGTCCTACCAGTATGAAATGCATTCAAAATGACAGCAAAAAAACCCAAAACAAAACAAAAAACCCTTCTTTATTTTCTTGCCTTGGAGAATGAAAAAATACTAGTTATCATAATTCAGAAAAATAAATAATTGAATGAACGGAATTGTGCTTCATTATGTTCTACATCCCAGAACAACATTAAAACTAGAGGTTGCCAGCCTAGCTTCATTGGTGAGAATAAAATAATTATGGCAAATTTTCCCAATCTTGCTGTTTCACTAATCAGATAAATCACTGCATTGCTGCTTAAATGCATTTCAATTAAGATGCCTAATAGAGAATTTTGATTGTGTAACATATCACTGTAATTAATGACATTCTGAAGACTTCCATAACTACCTGCTTTGGCTTCTTGACTTTAAAACTGTAAAATTTACAGCTGTGCTCCTAAATGAATGGTACAAACAAGGAATACATATGGAAAAAAACAAATCAAAACTGCTGTTAGCAAAGGAGAAGAAAAAATACTTTGTTTTAAAAAATGTTAGTAATTTGATATTAAAAAGCACAGGGCTGAAAGTGATTCTACAGAGTGTAAATTATCCAAACATTTTCTAGTTTTAGTACTCAAGCATAGCAGAGTTGACAATAATTAGTCCCTTTTCACCTGTTTTCATACTGGGCAGGAACTCCCTTACTGAATGTCCTATACTGAATTGTTTAAATTACACCTTCAGTTATGATTATGATTAAATTTAAGCTCCTTTTCCTCTCAGCATACAAATCATTCAGTTACTAACACACATACAGGTAATTTGGTCCTGCATTTTGTTAGGAACAGAGAAATAAAAATAATTCCAACTCTTTAAGAGGAAGTTTTACTCAAGAGTTGGTTGTGAAACTACTTTTCTCTTTGCACATAAATTGAAGGTGATGCAAATTTTTAAAAACTGAAAACTGATGATGTAATAGCACAAAACAGGGCAGAGATGTAGACACTGAGACAGCTCCATGAGAAACCATGACCACTCCAAGATCTGGAATTATAGACAGAGAACACTAGTATTTTAAGGTCTTCTTGCAAGTAATAGCTAACAAGTTGGGCTTAAACACAAGGGCTATGGTACAATCTTACAATCTCAACTGCAATCCATGAAGCTTCTGACAGTTTCATTAATTCAAAAGTGGCAGCATTTATTGGAGGAAAACAAAATAAAAACAGAAGAAAGATGGCAATACGGGTTGTAACTGAGTCTTGGACATAGCAAGCAATGCAGCAAGGGACTTCTAGAGCCTTCTGTGAACTACTTTAGAGTGGACACCAGTACAATCCCATGTTCCTCAAATTTATTTGAATTACTAATGAATTTGTTTTGCAAAAAAAAACAACACACCAAAAAACAACAAACAAACAAAAAACCCCCAACTTTCAATCATTATGTTTTAGAATGTAGAGAGTATCTAGAGCTAAATTAACAGTAAGAAGACAGACCAGTAATTCTGAAGGACATACCCTGAAAAGATGAACTAGACAATTTTATTGCTTCTTATACTATTAAGTTGAAGCATAAATTTGTTTTAGTAGAAAACAATACATCCAATGCTGAACAGACATGTTCAAAATATGTGAGACTATAGATGACACTCACCTGTAAACAATTCTCTCCTTCTGCAAATCCTCCAGACCACAGCACAGTTCTGCAGCATAGAAAATAGCCCTTTCTTCATCAAAGCCAGGATTTCCCATGTTATATATGTGAAACTTCAAATCCCCTCCATTCATTATGGTTAATACTAAACACAGGGCATCTTTCGTCTCATATGTATATGATAAACTAACCTAAAAATGGGGCAGGGGGAGAAGACAACCATTACTCATTCATACACCCCAGTACAGTTAATTTACAGATATTTTTTTTTCCCAACAGCATAAGAATCCTTTTTTAAAAACAAAAAACAAACACAATAGGCAAGTAGAGAATCACTCCTGTCCAGTACTTGAAGAAATAAAGGAATTCAGACTAATCTGCATGTATGCACAAACCCTACATCACCATACAAAAGTTTAGTGACTTACCAGTTCAGATACCAGATTTACTCAGCTGCATGTTATCTATATTACACTTTGTTAAGATAATGTGTGCATATACCTTATTTCATTAATACCTCATGAATTATCCATTAAATATTAACAACTAAATGACAACAATAAAATGAAAAAATAAACTCAGGGGAAGTTTACCTGGTCTATCTTTGATCATTCTAAGTTATTTCACTGCTTAGTAATCAAAGCTACTAACAGACCTAATAAATATGAAAATAGCAGGTACTAAAACTTTCATTCAGTGGGATTTCTATTAAAAGTTATGTTGATTTAACATCCAACATACCTCTTTAAAGCTTAATACATGGCCAAGCAATATAACTAAGGCTGATACAAAAAAAACTGGTCAAATTTAATTCATATCTTGAAATGTATAAGTAGTTGAACCACAAATGCTACAAAAATACCTAATGATAAAAAAACCTCTACTATGTAAAGACACAGAAATGCAGGATATGCAGCTTCTAATGGCAATCAAATGGCAGACTCTCATGAAGTCACTCTTTTGTAAGTGCATTTATGAATGACCTCCAAAAATGAAACTAAAAATCAGCACTGATTACAGGAAAATAGGTGCATGGGAGGGAAGAAGGGGGTAAAAGAAACAACCAGAGAGCAATGCATTGGGAAAAGAGACAGAGAACAGAAACAGGAAAGGAAAAAATTGGATGGAATGAAGTATATGGAATATCCTCAAACATACTCAGTAAGAGGCTGTAGCAAAAATAGAATTTAAGAGACTATTCAAGTCTTAGTACTACAGAATAATCTATTCACCTTTAAATAGAGGTAAAAACTTCAGTGGCACCAGGATGCTGAAACACAACCTGATGTTTGCTTCTAAGTGAGAAATAAAGAGGGAGACTAAACTAATTCAACAAAAGATCCCTCTGCACAGAATTACTGACAATCACACACAAAAGATACTTATTATTCCATTAATTATTTATCTCAGGAGTCATACATGCTGTAAATCAATTAAATAGTCTTGTGCCCACAATCTCCTGGAAGAAAAACTTCCGAGAATAAGATCAGAAGTAGATACTTACTACAAATCTACTATTCACTTTTTCAAGAATTCTTTTTTCATTTAGAGCCATTGATTCTCCTTTCCTCTTCTTTATTCTCTTTTTTTCTAGCTTTTTACAAGCATACATTTTTCCTGTTGCCCTTACTTGACAGGCACATACCTAAAAAGAAGGAAGGTGTGTCAGAGATGCTAGGGGCTTTTTAGAATTTTGTTTAAAAGTAAGTTTTCATTTTCTTTTTTCACACTCTTACATGCCCTCGGAAAGCACAAGGTCTGCAAGCATCAATACAGAGCTTTCACCCATGAAACAACTTTAAAGGGTCACAAAAACTGCACCAGAAGTAGATCAAGTTATTTTACAGGGCCAAACCCATTTTTGTTGGGGTTGAATAGTTCAGTAAAGCTGTGGATCTTGTGCTAGTGAAACACCTGACTGTGTTTAACAATCAATAGGTGCCCAGACAAGCAGGACAGAGGACAAACAAACACCCATGCCATAATCAAGCAGGAGTCAAATAATAGTAATTTAGTAACCCTTCTTCCCCTTCAACATAGGCTTCTGGTTAAAGCATGGAGAGGGATAAAAACCCCAATGAATTATAAACAGATTGAATAAATTCTATAGTTTTTTAATCATATTAATTAATATTCTACCTAATTATTAAGCAGAAACTACATTTTCATTGCCAAATGAAATTTCTAAACAGAAACAACTGCTGCTAGTCAGTACAAGTATTCTCCAACTTTGTGCATGACCTACAACACTTTAACTAACAGTCTAAAAGTTTTGATAGATGACAGTTTGCCAGGTGATGTGTCAAATGTAGATTGTTAGAGTCAGGAGTTAAAAAAAATACTCCTCCTTTGTATTAACCTTCTTTTTCTTTTTGTAAGGATTGCCTGGCAGAAAGATACTTCTGTACTCACCTCTCCAAATCCACCTTTGCCTAGTACTCGGTAATGCCTAAATGTGTGTTTGGTTACTGGTTGTCTGATGAACAGAAATAAACAATTAGTGCAACAGAAATTACAAGAGTCAGTAATGCCCTCCCCACCCCGAGGTCTGTCCTGATTTTCTCCTTCCTGATCTATGACATCTGAACAACAGTTGCCTTAACCTCATGAAGACAGTATTATAATAAACTGAATTTCAAACAAAAGGGGTGCTCTGGTTAGAAACATTGGCTCCCTCGTGTGGTCAGCAGACATTCATAATAGCAGGAAAAAAGCTGATCTCTCAAGCCCTGTGATTGTTTATGGTTACACCTTATCTGTTCTCGTCAACAGTCAACTTATCACCTCCAGTTGTCTCCCTTAGTTGCACGATGCTGACATGTAGGCTGCTTTTCAATGAGATCATGCTTACAATGCAGCAGTTAAAAGATACATAATTTCTGATTTTGCTTTGCTGTTTTGCATTTACAAAAAATAAACACTTGGGGTATGCAACAGCAGCTCAGGAGACAAATTGTGAAGGAAGGTACTGATGTAGTGGAAGAGGAACAGCTAACTGGAGGCACTAAAGGAGTCAGCCATTCTATGCTAGGGCACTCCTAATCATAGAATCATAGATCATAATAATGTATGAAAGCAGGTCTGTTTCATGATGGTGTGGGGTTTTTTAGTTTTGTTGTAGAAGAGCACTCATTGCTAATGCAGTAAACAAATAGAGGTTATTTTGGTAGAGAATTCGGTGTAATTGAGTAACTTCCCTAGTTCCCTTCCTGGCTTTTGCTGGTAAGTCAGTCAAATAAAAACACTGGATAATTTGATTTACTATACAATTAATGCTCAAGCACCTTAATGTTTGAATACATGATCATGATACAAAGCAGTGCTGAATCGAATTAATTTGTATCAATTTGCCTTCTGAAGAAGTCTGGACATTTGTTCAGTATTGATTTAAAAGCCCAAACTAGATTCTGATATATACAAATCTTGCTGTCTTGTAATTGCTAGATCTGTGTCTATGGCACCCTGAGAAACTTATTAGTTACCCAGTCACCTAGAGGGTTATAAAGCTAGATTAATCTGCTTATTAACCACTAATAAGACCAACTTTGAAACTACAGGATGATAGTGTTCCCAAGAAAGACTAGTTTCCCACTGTACACTTGAGAGCCAAGCATACATCCATATGATAATAAAATTTCATTTACACAATTCTAATCTACCACTTAAAGACTTCTGGATAGATAAATCCATTGGAGTACTGGCTCTCTCACTGTCAAAGTAACAACATCCTTTACATCTTGTCTTTCAGATCATAATTTCTTAGACAGGCAGTGTCATTCATTATATCTCTGCAGTATTTCTAGCATAACAAGCAGAACTGCCCACAAGCAAAGCAAAATTATAATGCAAATATTATAGATAAACTTACTTTTCCAGCCATTTCCACTGTAAAAAACGGGAAAAATACACACTTTCTTGGTAAGCTTCAAAAGGTCTTTTGCTTAGATATTCATGGACAATTCTAGCAACAGGGAAGAAAAAAAAATAAATCAATCTTATACTGAAAAAAAAAAATTAATCAGGAGGTGTTATCCATTTATTAAAATATACATATCAATGTAGCTGAAGGCAGAAAAACATTATCACTGTGCTTTACAATGGTTTTAATGTAGATGTCTCACGAAATGAGTACATGTCACAGATAATTGTTCCTGTCAAAACACTAGGGAGTGCTAAACTATTGTTATTTATTGCAACTAGAACATTTGACCTCTGCATTCTCATTGTCTGCAAGTCCACCTAAACATCAGCCTGTCGATAGCTTTGCAATGTGCATAGGACCCCACAAATATGACCTCTGAAAGATATTTACAGGAAAGTACCTACAAGTTTTCATACATTCTTTGGAGACTAAGTTAAAATTTATTCTAGAATTTGAAAGTGAAATACCATAACTGCCATATTCCAAACTGAACAGAAGGTACCTTATCTTTGCTCTTAAACTAAATACACTGAGGGGAAGAGTTGTGGGAAGAAAAAGTGAAAATTCAAACTGTATTTAGATTGTTATTGGACAGAGGAAAGGGGATGACCTCCCCGACAGATCCTCCATTTGAGACATGTTTTACTAGGCGTTCTCACCCTCCTTTTCAATCTTATAATCTCAGGTTGTCATAAAGTATGATTATTTTTGTTGCTGCGGAAATGACCCAAGCAGTGACAAAACGGGTTGTAATCCTTCAGACATGATCAAGCATGCCTTGAAGAACCAGTAATATTAGAAACATCAAGTCTTTAGAAAGATATGCAACACTGGTAAACATGTACCATCCCTCCAAGAAAACCCTTTGCTGCTGCTGCTGTGTGAAATACCACTTCATGACTTCAGAACGAAATCAAGTTGTATTTGTTTGTGTTAACTATCATGATCGATCCTCTAATCAGCCATCTTTATGAATATAACTGTTGGCCTCACTTCAACCCATCTGCAAGAACCATAAATTGTGTAAAATTGTTCAGAAACTTATCAAGCTCTAGTTTATAAACTTCATTTTTTTTCCATGTACCTTCATAATGGAAGAGAAGTCTCTCAAAAGCTAAAAATACAATAAAGAGAAATATTATTCTACCTTAAAGAATAGTTGGTAGCAGATAATAGTGTGATTTTATGCAAAAATACCATTAATTAAAAAGCTCTGCAAAAAATCAAACTCCTACATCACATCTGAAGAAAATCTAGTCCTTTAAAAAAAATCTGCTTCACATTTCTTACCTACACTCATTCCAGAGATCAAATGCACTCCTGGGTGTAATAACTTTCATTTCTCTCAGAAACACACAATTTTTTTCTCTTGTGATACTGAAACTTAGCACGATGGGTTTTTAACTTACCTAGTACAGTCCATAAAGAGATCCTTGGAAGGGTTCTTTTCCAGCCTTGCTTTACACTCATTTACTGTTTCCTGAGGTATTTCTGGCAAGTGTGCTGCAGACTTTGCATAATTAAAAAAAAAAAAAAAAAAGAAAAAAAAAGGCAACAATGAAAGCAATTTTGTAAATCCATTAAATGAATAAAAGTTTTGTGTTAGAAGTGAAATGAAATCTGCTAATACAGGAGAAGGAAAGGAATTGTTTGGCTAAAAAGAAAACCAAGAAAGTAATACTCAGGCAACATTTTTATGTGTTCCCTATTACAGAAAAATGCACTGAAAGCTATTACAGTTATTTACTATTTCTGAATCTGAGGAAACAAACTTGGCAATAAGTAAAATTGCTTTTCCCTTCTGTAAGTCTACCACCACAAAAGCAAGTTATCTGTTTGGTTTGGCAGGATGGAAGAAAGGGGTAAGAAACACACAATTTGGGAAACTATTTCAAACCAACCTAAGGAAACGTTTTTTTGCAAAAACTGCATGTGACTTATGGTCCCAAAGAAACTCTTATCTGCTCTTAAGGCATCTGCAAACCTTAATTTGGAGTGAAGCCTTCTCAAGATGACCAAAATAAGAGAACGAGCATCAATTCATAGAAAGCAAACATCTAATTATAAATCCACAGAAAAGCTTATATTGGACACCAAAGATCAGACTCTTAAAACTCAATCAGTGCAATCCCATATATGCTAAAGATCAGCTATTAATGATCTACATGCAATATACAAAGAAACAGACTGCTACAGAACAAAACAAAACAAAACAGCATTTCACTATGTGAAAAACTGCAGCAATTCTGAAAATTTACAGCAAACCAACCAAGGCCCCACAGGAATCTGAAAGAAGCCTGAGAATTTCAGTAATTCCTCATTCTTATGTCATCAGACTACAAAACTCTTGAGTTAACTTGTTTATAGCTTTTTTAGGTGCTAAATGAGTTTGTTTAAAAATATATCTTTACTTGACACCAGTACTCTAATTAAAAACATAGAAGAATAAATCATCTTATAAGCAGAGATTAGTCAAGGTTTCTACTCAAGTTGCTAAGTCTCACAATTTTAGGAGTTAGCACAGTCTTCAGAAAAGCAAAAATGCGACTAAGGAAATTTCCAAGTTGATTTACCAAAAATGACACGGTCACTAAGAACTGTATTTATCTGACATTTCCAAAACACTTGAGAAAATATGTTGCAATGTAATATATTTACCCCATTAGTGAAGTACGTCTCTAAAACTTGCAGGCCACAGTCTATACGCTTTTCATCTGAAGATACCTCATATTCTGCCTAGGGGAATTGAATTGAAAATTAAATTTCATTCAGAGCTATTTGGCACTATGGTCTTTTACATGATGCAAGGTAAATTTTATCAAGAATAATACAATGCTCCTAATATAAAAGGAACTGAAGGCTCTCATTTTTAAAAATCTCTTTAAAGATGTTTAGGCTAACGTAGTGAAGCATACATGAACAGTCTTAAAAAAAGGCACATGGAATTTAATTTTTGGAAAACAGATGAAAACTAACAGTCTAAATGTGATTACAGAAACTGCATGCTAGAGGAAAAATTAGATCAATTACAATGGAATAGTATTTATGTAGTATTATAGGACAGAATGATCCAGATAATTAAATAAGAGTCCAATAATCAGCTTTTTCCTCGCTGTGTGGGGTTTTTTTTCCTTCATGTATGTTCCTTTACTACAGTCTTGGGTAAAACTAATAAAACTACTATTTTCAACAAGGTCATGTTAAATGGAAATAAGTAAGATCTAAACCAACACCTGGTTCATTCTTTAAGAAAATAAAATGAAGCAGATACAAAATTTTGTGAAGCTTTTGACTTAGGATACTGTGATGTAGAAAAAAACATGGTGCAATGCAGTGGTTTTTGGAGATTAACAACTGGTAGCTTAACAGATCTTCAGAGGTAGATACTTATGAAAAACAAACAACTGAACACATCCTAGTATCAGAAAACTTCAAGGACTACTCACTATTAATAATTTTAAGGAATAATCTAGAAGCAGGCATCAAAAGTTACTACATTTCAAGACAACACAGATCTGGGGAAAGATGAATTTGTGAAGAGCAATCTCAAACAGCAACCTGTAATAGCTTCATAAACTAGGCCAACTCAAAGCTGATTTCATACCTTAGAATGTAAATGAATGCACCTAGGAACAAAGAATACATGACAGAACTCCAGAATGGAGGACTACATCACACTAAATATTAGTTTGGTTGATTGGAGCAACAATCATTAAAAAACTCACAGGAAGTTCCCAGTGATTGACCTGATCAGAAGAGAAGTTACATACCTTTATAAAGAAAACTAAAATACTGAAAAATTACAAGAACCAAACCCCCACACAATACTGGAAATAACAGAATTCCTGAACTCTAGTTCTGTAGTTAAATGCAGCTAACCCACACTGACTCACTGCTAAGTCATCAACATCTTTTTCTGCAGAAACATTATGGTATTAACCACTTCAGCACAGTACTTAAATCCGTAAACAATTGTAAGCCACTGTTTTAGTTGTTTTAATTCTACAACACTCAGTCTAATGCTAAGGAATTATTCTGCAACTACCAAACAACCTGAGCAGATCAGAAAACTTAACCAACCACAGCAGTGCAGTTACCACCTTTAACATCTTCAATTATGCCCAGGTAGTCACTGATTTCATAGAGTCAGGCATACTGTTTTAAGCAACGAATGTTTAAAAGGAAGTTTAAGAGACAGCCTTGTCAACTAATTTCTGTTACTCACAGAGCTTAAGAGGAAAGTTTGAGCTGTCACCCATTCCTTTTTATACTTGAGCAACCTTGTCCCCAGCTAGTGAAATGAGTCACTAGATGATTGGATAACTGTAATTCCTCGCTTTAATTTCTGTCCCTTTTAATTTAGTTATTTCACAACTTTCTGTAAAGTCAAGCTGACTCCAGACTTTAAGGTCACACCCTGTCACAAGTTAAAGCTTACCAGCCTTAGCATTCCAGTACAGGTAGACAACATAGCATTGTACTACCTTGATTCTGCCATTTTGGCCTCCTGGAATAATCATGCTACTGAAATTGCATAGCTCCATATAAGACAGTCAGAAAACTCTTAATTAAGAGGCAAGGCTGTTAAGACTATGGCATTTTATGGCAAAAAGCTTATTTTCAGAGAGATTAATCCTAAAATGCATTAAAAAGTAAAAAATAAAAAGCTGGCAAAAACCAGGTAAAAATCCCACAACCTCAGCCTTTCCCTTCACAAAACCAACAAAAAGAACAATCCCTCAATCCAATTACAAAAAAAGCTTGAACAAGCTTGCTGTAGACCAGACCAGAAAAGGACTAACTTAGGAACTATCTGCAAGAAATAGCAGGTATTTTACCTCACTTCCTCAATCAAGACGGCATACTAGCTTACAAGAGCAAGTGTAGGGTCCTGCACCTGGGGAGGAAGAACCACACACACCAACATAGGTTAGGGGTGGACCAGCTGCAAAGCAGGATCTGGGACTCCTGGTAGATAGTAAATTATCCATGAGCCAGAAATGTGCCTTTGTTGCCAAGAAAGCCAGTGGAATCCTGGGATGCATAAGGAAGAATGTGGCCAGTAGGTTGAAGGAAGTCATTCTCCCCTTCTACTCTGCCCTGGTGAGGCCACATCTGGAGAAATGGGTCCAGCTCTGGGCTCCCCAGTTCAAGAGACAGGGAACTGCTGGAAAGAACCCAGCAGAGGGCAACAAAGATGACTGGGGAATTGGAGCACCTCCCTTAGGAGGAAAGCCTGAGAGAGCTGGGACTCCTTAGTCTGAAGAAGGCTGAGGAGAGACCTTATTAATGCCTACACGTTTCTTCTCACAGGTAATTAGCAATAGAACAAGAGGGAATGGCTTCAAGCTGCAACAGGGTAGGTTTAGACAGGAGATTAGGAAAAAAAAATTTCACAGAAAGAGTGGTTAGACACTGGAATAGGCTGCCTATGAAGGTGGTTGAGTCACCATCCCTGGATGTGTTTAAGGATCATTTGGATGTGGTGTTGGTGGATATGGTTTAGGGGAGAACTTTGTTGAGTAGAAATGATGGTTGGTCTCAGTGATCCCAAGGGTCTTTTCCAACCTGAATGGTTCTACGATTCTAAGTATCTAAAGGGTGAGTGCAAGGAGGATTGAGCCAGACTCCCTTCAGCAGTTCCCAGTGACAAGACAAGGGGCAAGGGGCACAAGCTGGAACATGGGAAGTTCCATTTAAACATGAGGAAAAACTTTGTTGCAGTGAGGGTGACAGAGCACTGGAACAGGCTGCCCAGGGGGGTTGTGGAGGCCCCTTTTCTGGAGATAGTCAAGACCCCTGTGGATGCAATCCTGAGTAATGTGCTCTAAGGGATCCTGCTTTAGCAGGGGAGTTGGACTAGATTATCTCCAGAGGTCCCTTCCAACTCTGACAGTTCTGTGATTCTGTGATTTTCAGATCATGAGAGTCATTCATTACAGATTATCTTGTTCTTAAGAGAATTCCATTTCAGTCATTTCCAGACATACTTTTTCACCTTGATTTTTCAAATTACAGTTAAAAGAAGAAAAAGTTAATTGTGAAAGCAACCCTTACCTCACATTATCTCAACTAACGCAGACTTTGTTAAATCACTGAAGTGTTGCAAGCGACATAACTCTATAGGTTACATATTTCAAAACAATTCAAAATTTTCATTTAGTGTAAAACACAGTTACTTTTTAGAGACAATTTCACCTGAAAAAGACATGTCTACCTTAGTCATGCCTGAGATTTTTTTTTCTCCTTTGTGCTGCCAAAGATTTTGTTACTGTTTATCTAAGCTTTTAAGGATTAAAAATGTGTATGGAAGTTGTAGCCATTAAGGGTCCATCCACAGTTGTCAGTGGTCTCGTCATTGTTAATTGCTCATTAAAGGCTTTGATTTACATTCACTTCAGGATATTTAGCTCCACTGTTCTGGATTTCCATGTGATACATTCCATGTCTCCAACTGTCAAACTGAGCCCTGTAATTCAGTGCTAGAAAAGCTCTTAAGAGTCACACAAGTATGGTGAGATGCACCTGGGGAGTAAGCCTAATTAATTGCATAAAGATTCATTGACAAATGTAAGGCAATCCTACCTACTTGACGCTAAAGTTTCTTTTTAGTTGATCAAGTGCCTCACTTTATACTCCCATAGGGGGAAAATATGATAAAGTGGGGGGCACAGCAATAAGCCCATGTACTTCCTTATACCCTGCACCTTTCAGAGCCATCTTGCATTCTAATACTGTACTTTGGGATGCATGTAAGCAGCAGCACACTTCTTCTACACTACTGCTATCTTTGATCATTTTTTTCCTGAATATAAGAACAAAAATGGGTGGGATATGGAAAACGCTTCTTTTTGCAAAAATCTCCATTTAAGACTTTATCTTACTGCTCTTGGATTAACTCTGAGGCACAAAAAATAAAAAGCTCTGAGCTTTTTTATTCTCTTGTTTTAAGGACTGTTGTGTGCCTGTCTACTCTTCTCATTACTTTCCCCTCCCCATGAGGGTTTTCTCTGAGGAGTTTTACAAAACATGGCTGCAGGCACACTTCCTTCCTCCCCTCATTCTTTAGCATTAGATACCAAGATGCAAATGCATCAAGACAAAATACACTTCCTTTTCCCTTGGTCTCTAAAATCTGGTTTCCCTCTTTCCATAGACGGTTCCCTAAATTTCCATCTCCATTGTGTTTTTTTTTAATTAGCACATTCTGTCTAGCCTCGGGCTTCCATGCAAGTTGCAACATTTTCAAGTCTATGTTTACAACATTTTCAAGTCTGAGTATCACAAGTAATAAACGTACACACATCCTTTTAGGCTCAAGTAGTCAGGCAACAAGTCTTTCTAAAACTGTCTCTTGTTCCCCTCATGCCCTTTCTTGTAGTTCTGATCATGCCAAGACAGCAGAGATTTTATAATTTCCCTTTAAGAACACAGAGAGAGTTTTTTGATACTCATCAAAACGTTACAGCTTTACAGGTGGCAAAGAGTAAATTGCACTATATTTTCATGGATGCAGCATCACTGAACAGATGTGTTTAGAGACAATTAATATTCTAGAAAACTGTTGTGTGTTAACCCTGATAGGCAGCTAAGCCCCACACGACCACTTGCTCACTCCTCCCGTGATAATCAGAAGAGAAACTTACAGGTTGAGGAAAAGACAGTTTAACAGATAAAGCAAAGCTGCATGCACGAGCAAAACAAAATAAGGAATTCATTTGCATCTTCTCATCAGCTGGCAGATGCTTAGCCATTTCCAGGAAAGCAGGGCTTCATCATGCATAACAGCTACTTGGCAAGACTAACACAGTAACTCTTAACTTCCTCCCTTCCTCTTTCTTTCCTCCAGCTCTTATTGCTGAGCATGGTGTGATACCATATGGGATATCCCTTTGGTCAGATGGAATCAGCTGTCCTGGTCGTATGCCCAGTCTACTCACTGTTGGGGTAGCGTGAGAAATATAGAAGGCCCTCTGTAATCACTGTTCAGCAATAAGTAAAACATCCTTGTTATCAACACTGTTTTGGTCTAAAACCAAAACATAGCACAGCACGAGCTACAATGTAGAAAATTAACTCTATCCCAGCCAAAACCAGCACAGAAATCAAACTTTTTACAAACAAAAATGTATAAGCTTATGCCTACTCCTATTCATCTCCAGTTTCTTACTGCTTACCACTGCATCCAGAAATTCAATGCATCTTTTCAAATCTGGTCTGGAATCACAGAACTGTCTGAAGAGAAGTCTTCCTATGGGCTGTTTGTCACAAAGTTGGTTATAGTCTCTTTCTGAGAAAGAAATAATAAGTGTGTATATTTGTTTATTTTTATTTTTGGCATAAGTTACTCCTTACTCCCAGTTAACACCACCAAAATGTTACCCTTCCCTTCTCAAAAAGAAAAATAATAAAATCAGGCAGACCATACTGCAGGACACGTACCGATTGAGCATCTGATACCTTCACAGTGACTAACAGGTGGCAACTTCAGCATCTCTTTCCATTTTTTACTACGCCCACTCCGTTTGCCTACAAGAAGAGTATGAGTAATGTAAAACACAATCCAAATAAAATTAAACATAACATTAACAGCATAAAATTAGATACCTTCTGCACAGATATGTCAGACCACTTTTCATGCCTACAAAGAAATTAATCATCAAGGATACCCAAATCAACAAATTTGATACAGAAGAACTTTTACATAAAACACTAACAAATGCAGAAAGTCTCCTGCAATACAAATTTTTTGCATCTTTTCTGTGCATACAGAATATCTCTGCAGAGACAAGGCAAATATTTAGGTATCCAAACCATTACAAACAAAACTGAAACATCAAAGACAAGATAAAAAAAAAGTTGAGAATTCTCTCTCAACTATGGTGATGAATGGAAGACATTAAGTTGAGGAAAAAAATACATGTAACAAAGTCCTTAAACACATTTTTGGATTATCAAGTTGTACATAAATATTCTCTTTCCTTTTTTAAGAGCAGAAATAGTAATAAAAGTAGACGCCACTAATAATCGAGTGGGCATTGCTCAAATACACACCATTTATTCCAGACTATAGGAAGATACAGAATATCAGTAAGAACTTAGCAGTTGTAGAATTCAGATCTTTTCAGTGCTTCAGATTCCACAGCACCAGTACTAAAATAATTTTCAGAACTACTACAGTATTTTTCCCATTGTTTCTCAAAAAAAACCCCCAAAACTTGTGTGCTTCATTTTCTAAGTTAAATTGGAATTTTAGCATGTTTGACCTGAAGAAGACAATTCCAGTTACAGAAGACATCCATACTTATCAAAAAAAAGCAAAGAGACAAATACAGGAACACAATATTTTTTAATTGCAAAATATTTCAGTGGAAGAATCATTTTTGTGGGGCAAAATATTTTAGAAGATGTTTTTAGTGAGTGATATGGCCAGATGCATTTCCACATGAGAGAACAGTAGCAAAACTGCATAGAAATTTTCTAACTGTACCAAAGCAGCACATATCATTAACCACAATGGGAGAGAAAGGAAGGGAGTTACCCCATGTAACCCGAATAGAAACCAAGCAGCAAACAGTACTCAGCTCATTCAGAGTTAAATCATTAGAGAGAAAGGAACTAATTTTCAGAATAACAAAATACATATTTTAAAAAAAACCAACTACCTCAATCAAACATACAGCTCCTTGAACAGTTCCACCATTGCAGGCAGAACAGTTCCATCTTAGTGTACCTTAGCTCATATAAAATTTACATTATCTTTGCTAACAGGACATCTAACTCTGCTGTTGCAGCAAATCATTCTCAACTCTATCACTAGAAAAGTAAATACATAATGAATACCAAACCTTAAAAAGCTGGCTTGCAGAGATTCTTTGAACTGATACCTACTCTCTAGAAAACCTTCGGCACTTTATTACCTAATGTTGCTTTGTCATTTACCTTCCAAAATATTGTAGAACACAAATCTCTTTAATCTACTTCCCACCCTTATACTTCATGCAGTACCAAAACTAATCATGAAGGTGTAACTACCAGTATCATTAAAACAAACTCTAATTACTGTAACAAAATATTTTTAACCATGGATCTGAAAAATACACTAAGCTGTAAGGTCCACAGAAGGTAAATTTCTTATATTAGAAACTGTTCAGAAAGACTTATTTTTGCTTGACACAAGACAATCAGTATTGACCAAAAATGATAAACTGACACAAATTCATACCACAGTCCTGTTCGTAAAAAGTAAAACTGAACTGTGATATACACCAAGTACATCATCCTTTGAAGAGCAGTCGAAGAGAAAAAAAATAATTTAAAAACCCAGCAAAAAAAAGAGGATCACTGGCGCATTACACTTCAAGTCCAACATATTTTGTCTCAAATATTTGGCCAGCTACTTTTGATGTGACCATTGTGAGACACTGGCACAGGTTGCCCAGGGAAGTTGTGGGCACCCCCTTCCCATGCAGGGAATTGGAACTAGGTGATTTGTAAGGTCCCATCCAACTCAAACCATTCCATGATTCACTTTACAAAGAGAGACCTCATGCTAGAACGCAACTGAATTCACCATCCTATAGAAGTCAATAAAGACTACATATAATGTATTAATGATATACAAAAAACAAGTGCTTAGTAGTATCAACTAAACATGCTCTCTCTTCTCTGACCTTCTATTTACAGTAAAAGCACAGAAAGTCTGTATATCCCAATAATGTAAAGAGAAGGCATGACCTACATCACTTACAGAGAAATTAGCCATTTCTGGTAAAAGGTATGGGAGAGGGCCAATTTGTTTGTCATATTATGCCCTAATTGCAAAATCCTTTTCCATTTCTGAGGCAGTTTAAAAGAAGTATCAAATCAAATTATAATAGTTGTGGTTTGTAAGTGTCTTAATATTGATTTCAGAGCTTCTGTTCAGGATTTCATTCTAAAATGCTTCAGATAAAATTCTTCCAGAAAGACCAACAGCTTATTTTCTGACACTGCAGCAACAAAGCCATTAGGTTAATCTGCTTTATGGTTGACCTCTGTGGTTCAGATGAAATACCACTTTTGCCTCTTTCATATGTAATTGCTGGCTAGAACAATGTGCAACTTGAAGCAACTCCTCTTTTACAAAGAGAAGGGTGAATGCAGCAATATACCATTACAATAAGGAAACACTGCAACTGCATTTTTGGGTACGTAAGTATCCTGGTTTGAGCCAGGATGAAGCCAGTTTTCTTCAGTGAACTTACCTTCTTCTCCTCCCCAGATTACTTCTTAGTTAGAATTTCAGCATTTACCTCCTTACATGTTTTGGCTTCTTAAAAAGATATGTACTAAATTCAATTAGGTCATTGCATTAGAATACAATATGCTATGAGAGAGATTTTGAGATGTTCCCATTTTTCAACTTTTTTTTTACAATTTCAGAGAAGCATTTGTAACTTTTGTAAGGCAAGATTGTTGCCTTGTTCATCAGTAAAAACACAAAGAGACACTGCCGTGTCAAAACAAAGCCATCTGGTGTAGAAACAGATTTAGACAATTAAGAGCATTTTTCAAATCATCACATGGACTTCCCACAGTCACAGTGATATTCCTTACAGGCAGGATTCATAGCATAATTTTCATTTCACTGAGTATAATGTTCAACGAACATTATTAAGTCAGTTTTCCTTGAGATAGAAAGTTTGAATTCCCTCCCACAGAATGAAAATAGTGAGAAGCATTGTACTATCTATGGCTAATGAATGTATACTGACTACAGGCTGTGCACACTACAGTGCTATGATTCAGTGGCTACTACATTGACACTGAGATCCTGTCACTGAGTTGTTCAGGGACCTCAGTGTTTCACTCTTCCTGTCTGTAAAGGGTAAGTAACGTCTCTGTGGTTGAGAAGCACAGCTATTCAGCATTAGGGGTGCATGATTGCTACATCATTCTTGCAAAACTGATTCCACAAACCAGATTGTCAGATACCAGCTGAGAAATTCATACCAGACCACACCCAGATAAGCTCTGAAAGCATCAAACGTCAACAAGAAGACAACCTAGAGCACACCCTTAACTGTATAAATGAATCGACTGGCTAAAAGAAAAATACAGAAGAATTTTCCTTCAAAACACTCACAATAAGGATTAAAACCTGTCATTGAAAAATCAAAACACTCCTGTTTAACTATGGCCTTGTGTCACAAAGACACTTGTAAACACTGCCTACTAAGTAACAAATATTGATGGTATGCCCTTACTGTGCAAGACCCACCTTCAAGACACAAAATACTGTGGAATTGACACCTCAGGTCTTCAGATCAGAATGGTAACACTAAAGTACCACTAAATTCAGGTTAGGAGACAAGTTCACACACATCATCACTTGAGGAAGGCTGTCATGCTTCCGATTCCAGAGATAGCTCCTATTGTACTGCTTTGTGGGGTCTCTGCTACCTTCTCCATTGCGCAGGTCAAATAGATGTTTTGACATCTCAGCTCCTTGAAAAACAAGCCCAGCCACAACTTAACAACTAGGTTTATCAGAGTGGCATCTCCTCTAAATGCAGAAAGATATGTATTTTTCCCAGAAATACAACACATACAATTTAGGTGCCTTTCAGGAATTTTATCAGAATCTCCTAGCTGAAAATTCAGGTTTCAAAACAGGGCAGGTACCTAATTCTTCAGTGCTACAAAGGCCAAGGCACTTCTGAATGCAAAGAGAAGAAAAAATGCCAGCAGTTCAATAAATAAACAAATAAAAGATACCTATAGATCACAGATTGTTATGGTATTTTTAAGATAATATTCCTCATACTCCTGCATTCAAGTGCTTAAGAATTGGACTTCAGCAAGGTAATGCAGGAGTCCTCTTGCTCATTTGACTGTTAGAGCAGTAACACTGTAAGCAGTTAAAAACCCCAGGTATCTATGTGAACGTTTGTGCAGCTTGTTTATATGCACAATCATTTATTGTTCCCACAGCTATAACCACTTGAACAACTGGTTCTTCCCATCAGCTCTATCTACAATGCCAGTAATCATGTGCACATTTAAGAATGCCAGTGCATACATGCTGAACAGCTTGTGCACCTCTTCAGAAATTTGGTAAGAAAGCCTTCTATCAACTTAAGTAAATGTAACTAATCTAAATACGAATTAATTGACCTAATCTTCC